ACAAAACGTTCATCAAACAAACGTAATGTTTCTCTAAATAAATCGGAAATAACAAGTTCTTTCCCCAAACAAACGAGAATATTTAATGACGCTGGAATTTATGTCGTCAGTCAATTTCTATAAGTGAACGAAAGTGGTTGGCTTACAATGAAGTCTATAAGCATATATATCTTTTGTTACATTTCTTGGAGAGGAATCTTAGGAATAGGAATAACAAATTACTATCATGGCGGACTGATAAAGTATCTGAAAGAAGAATCTAAATTACATCAGGTAGTGTTCATTTTCAACAATCAACAGAAAGATACAGATCCAATAATAGATTCCCTCGTGGCAACAGTCAATTCGCATTTTCCATCTTTAAGCATCGATTACAATAGAATTCGTTCGGAACTTACAGAATTACACACAAAATTGCTTAATCGACCGAGAAGCACTACACTGTTTGTTTTACAGTGGACGAATGGGAGCACTATAGATCAATTAAATCAATTTTTAGCTAGAAAGAATAATCTATTGGTAGGATCGTCAAAACCAAGATTTTTAATTCTGAACACTATTCTTTCAACTCATGAAGATATCAACAGAACCTTGCATTCTTTCTGGAGAAATAAATATTTGGATGTTACTTTCTTGACATATAATTATGAATCCCAAAAAACGATCACATCAACTTCCGAAAATTTGCTACAGTTAAGTCAAATTAATCCTTTTACTGCTAAATACCTAACTCAACCGGTATCATCTGAAACTGAATGGTTTCCAAATAAACTTCTTGATCTGAATGGATACAAATTGGAATACGACCTGGAATCAAATGAGTCTTCAAGCGAAAACGTAAAGTCGATCAAATTTTTGGAAATTTTGGCTCAAGTAATGAACTTTAAACCATATTCAAACAAAAGAAAATATGAAATGGAAAAAACCGGTCAATCAGTATATGTTAAAGAAACTAAAATAGACCCTGAGTTATACCTAAATATGGAATCATTGTATACCAATTATTTTAAATCAATGAGGAATTTACGAATATTAAAACTTGATAGTGCTAAAGCTATTCTTCCACAGTCGGTAAAGGTAAAAAAAGACGTTATACTTTCATCAGAATTATGGTACATGATCTTAATTACAATTATTACGATTGCTATCATACGATTATTAGCATTTTTGTTGAAATTCAAAAAGATTTCGTGGGAAACATTAGGTCTGTTTCAAATGATAATAGGAATGTCAGCTACTCGAGAACCTAAGATGATGGCAGAAAGAATATTTTTTGGATCAGTTGTGATTGGATGCATAGTCTACACAAGTTATTTTTTCTCCGTTATCCTAGATATTACATTTCAATCGCCACCTGAAATTTCAACTCTCGATGAACTTTTTAAATCTTCATTGACACCGAAAATGAATTACGACTTGAAAAAGGCGTTAGAGGAGAATTCAATTTCTGATATTCGGCAGTGGACGGAAAAAGCTATTAAGATTTCTTACAAAGGACAAGAAGATTGCCTGAAATACTTGACTGATTATGAGAATACAACTTGTGTTCTTAATAACGCTAAATATCATGTCAGCAAATATGAAGAAAAATATGGAAAAATAAATGTTACGATTCTACAAGAACCTCTTGGATTGTCAGTTTGTACATTTCTATCAAAGAGTTTTTCTCCCTTTATCGATCGTTTCAATGAAATAATTCTAAAAGCTTCGGAGTTTGGATTACTTAAAGATTTTTATGGAAATGTTGAACGTTTACAGAGTGGCAGTAAAGAAGTGGAAATAATAACGAAGAAGAAACTCTTCCCTATACTATTTTGTGTATTAGTTATTGGATACTCTCTTTCGACGATCACTTTTCTTCTTGAAATACTTGCAGCAAAGGCGAAAGGCAAATTTTCCACACATGTCGAAATTTAAATTTATAACTTTAGACAAATTTAGAAGACTAGAAGCGGAAGAAATGGTTTTGCTGTTTTCTCATAGTGAGCAGTGGGACATCGGTTAAAGTTTATTGATAGGGGTGGCTTTGAAAAAGTACAACAATTGGTGAACGAAATTAAATATTCTGTGCATTCGAACACGTGCTTGAATGAATGGGAAGATTTTTCAAAATAATACATTGCAATAGTGTGCAGATGAGTGTAGTTTTGTTTTCCTAAAGACGAAGTAAGTTGCAATGCCTCACTATCTGACTTATATTTTTACTTTCGACGCGAAATATTGCTGTACGTTATACAGTGTATTGCGACTGTTTTTAAGAAGTAATTAAATATTGTATATTTTTTCAAATTGTACTATTTATTTCTTATCTAATATGATGCATTAAATAATTACACAGGGCTCGAAGTAGGTCCGTAAATCCTGAAAAAGTCCGTAAAAGTCCGTTTTTTTAAAAAAGGTCCGTAAAGTCCGTAATTTCATTCAAAAAAGATGAAAACTTCGTAAATTGTACGATATAATTTTGAGAATTTTAGAAAAGTTACAAATGATTACAGAAATTTAATTATTTTTAAAAGTAATAAAATTCTTCGCAAAAATTCAATTATATTGAAAAAAAATTCTCGTCAAAATTTCAATTATCTATTTAGAAATATTAAAATTCTTCTCCAAAATTCAATTATTTTTAAAAAATCTAAAAAAAAATTGTCAATATTTCAATTATCTTTATAAAAAAATAGCAAAATTCTTCGACAAAATTCAATTATTTTCAAAATTTTTAATAAAATACATTAAAAAATTTCAATTATTTTCATAATTAATAATATTTATGACACGAATTCAATTATTTTCTAAAGTAATAAAATTCAATTATTTTCAAAAATTTTAATAAAATCCATTCCAAAATTTCAATTATTTTCAAAAAATTTAATAAAATTCTACAAAAATACTTTAAATTGTTTTCAAAAAAAAATTAAAGTTTCACAAGAATTGCATTAATAACAAATTTTTTTTTATAAATTTCTTTGCAATCATTCAACTATTTTCGTAAATAATAAAATTTTTACGGGTATTCAATTATTTTCGTAAATAATAAAATTCTTTTCTAGGAATTTAATTATTTTCAATAGAATTTTAATTGAATTCCTCGAAAAAATTCTTAAAATTTTTATTAAAATTCGTCTAAAGAATTTAATTATTTAAATATTTTTAATAGGAATTGAATTCCAAAAAACATTCAATTATTCAATAAATTTTTTTGTTTTTTTATTTGAATAATTGATATTCCCATAGATTTTTCTCATAAACATTGATTTAAAAATAGATTTCAGTTGAAATCTTAGATTATAATAATTTAATTCTTTCGAAGAATTTCATTAAAATTTTAAAAATAATTGAATTTTATCGAGACATTTTTTTAAAATTGTCTTAAAAATAATCGAATTTCTACCAAATAGAAAGTTTTATCAAAACTTTTCAAAATGTTTGAATTTCTTCTAAAATTTTGATATTTTTGAAAATAATTGAATTCTTGCGAAGAATTTTATTAAGAATTTTGAAAATAATTGAATCTCTGCAAAGATTTTTTTTTTATTTTACGAAAATATTTAAATTCTTGCTAAAGATTTTATTAAAATTTATGAGAGTAATTGAATATCGGCTAAGAATTTTGTTATTTTTAATTTATGCCAAGAATTTTATTAAAATTAAAAAAAAAAATAATTGAATTCCTGTTATAATTTTTTTACAAGAATTTAATTTGTTTTTGAAAATTTTAATAAAATTCTTCGCAAGAATTTAATTATTATTTGTCATAAATAATAAAATTCAATTTAGAATTTCAATTATTTTATTTATTTTATTTATTTTTAATACAATTTTAATCGAATTTCTCGAAAAATGTAATTATTCTTAAAAATTTTAATAAAATTCGTTGATAGAATTCAATTATTTGAAAATTTGTTGATAACAATTTTTTATGGGAATTGAATTTTAAGAAACGTTAAATTATTCAATAAATTATTTATTTGCATTTTATTTGTATTTATAATTTAAATAATTGAATTCTAGTCGAATTTTCTAAATAAGAATTGATTTTCATTTCATAAAAATCAATTTTATTTGAAATTTTAGATAATAATTGAATATTAAAAACAATATAGCGGGAATTTAGAAAAAATAATTGAATTTTGTACCTAATTAATTTTGTTGAAACAGTTTAATTGAGTTTTTTTTATGTTATTTTTAGTTTCTATTTTCTAATATTTATTTAATTGAAGAATGTACGAATAATTGAAATTTCGTAAAATTGAATATTGTAAAGAAATGAATTTGAAAATTGTCAATGAACTTTTTCGAAAATTTAAAAAAATAATCGAAGAATTTTAGTTAAAACTTTTTCTTTTTTTAAACTTCTTCTTTTTAATAATAATTGAATTGATAATGATTTTAATTATTATAAATTATTTTTATTAATTTTTATCGATAACTTCATGTTTTATAGAATTATGATAAAATTGAATTTCTAGTTTTAAGTAAAATGTTCTCTGATTTGATTCGACCTGATTCTATTTTTGTCAGTTGGTCCGTAAATGGTCCGTAATTTTTAATTTTTGGTCCGTAAAGTCCGTATTTTTAAATACTTTCACTGCTTCGAGCCCTATTACATTAATATATTAAATGATTAAAAGTATTTCAATAATGAATTGCATTCTTTTGTTGCTCCTGTCGAACATACGGTCCCAGTATAGTCAGGGCCCTTAAATTCCAAATTCCCTTTTTGTCCGCAATCGTAATAAACTCCTTTTACTATTCTTAAGTTGTTCATTTCTATTCAATTCAATTCTCTGTAGCCACATTTAACCAGAATTTGAATTCCCTTTAATGTCGTTTAAGGGAATCATTACTTGTGGAGTAAATAATGATTTGTTAGGAAAAAGATCCCCGAACTCCCAATGCAATTAGCTCCTCTAATATTATAGTATTTGAAGTAATGGGATACAATGAGATGCCTGAAAATATAGTGATAGTCGATTCTTTAATTTAAAAAACTACTTGGTTAGGATTGGTAAGTGGCGGTTATCACGAGAAGAAGCTGCTAAACGACCTGCTGGATGCGTACAACGTGCTGGAGCGACCGGTGGGCAATGAGTCCGAACCCCTACAGTTGAGCTTCGGCCTTACGCTTATGCAAATAATTGATGTTGTAAGTTTGCCAAGAACATATTTTATAGGATCTTAAAAGTTAACTATTTTTATAACATCTTCGTACATTATATTTTTCAAGATGTATTTTTCATGTTTGATACTTGTGCACTGTTTGGTATTCTAATATAATTAAATAAACACCACCTCCTTAACACTGATAACGATTTCTAATTAAAAATTCAATTAACGCAAATTTTATTTTTATTTTCTCTGAAAATCTTTTCTTTGAAATAATTTCAACGAAATATTTCATTAATTAAACGAAATCCTTTGATGAAATGAATTGAGTACATTGATGTTATTTTTAGATATAACTTACAGGCAATTAAGAATGGTTCTTAGAGAAAAATGTTTTAAACTTTTAATGGGGTATTCGATATGAATTACGAGATCAAGTTATATCTGTTTTTGCTCCTTGTGTATATAAAGCAGAACTCCCAATATATCAAATTTCTTCACCTAATTACATAATCATCTTAACCTAATCGTAATTCTTATCCTAACCTATCAGTATATCCGACAGTGCTTGGGCTTCTGTTTCCAGTTCCTTTATGATCATGTTGTCCGCATTAACGCCAACACTATCATTAAGACTTAAATACAGCCAACCAATGCAGTATGTGAGATGTATTCCCTTAATTATTATCTTGAATTACTGTCTACATTCCACTTCTTTTAATTTTTCATTCCATCCATTTGTTTACATACGTCCAAATCATCTTTTCCATTCACTTTTCGCTATAAGTATTTTACAATTTAGATCCTAATAGAAAATACCACAAAGCGGAATATGAACATAAAAATAGTAAAATTTACTGAAACTTATGTGAAACTACAGTTATGTCAAGAACATTAATCAAATTTTAATATAACTTTACTTTTCATATAATTACTTTTAAACTTCTGTAAATTGTATATCAAAATTTTGCTTTGCTGCATTTTCGTCTTAAATTATAAAATACTTTTACAAAATTAGATATTTATTTTCTTTCCGAGAGTAGTTATTTTGGTTACGAGAAGTTTATATTAACTAATTTTAGCAAAATTTTTATTTTAGCAAAAAACAAATTTTGTTTACTTTAATATTTTTCCACTACTTCTCAATCGAATTGAACGCAATAAATCTCAGGGCAATTTGCGAAGATCAATGATACCAGGTTGACAGTGAGACTAGGAAATGACAATAAAAAATACCACTTACTGAGACTGACAAAATCGATCGTCGACACAACGCGGTTATACATGACGTCTCAATAAACTGGTATATCCGTACATATACAGTAAACTCCAAAATTCGTTCGGAAGCAAATCGCTTTTAAATTAAAAAATCAATTCACGTAAATAGAACTCTATTAAAATTTCAAAAAAAATCTTCCACTCGGAATACGCGGCTAATTGATGTCACGCATCATGAACCGTTTATTGCGTAGGTTTCCTGATTTCTAATTTCATCCCCATTGCACAGTGGAAAAGAAAATGGAAAAAATGATTAAAATTGTATTTTAGGGCACAAACTACTTTTGTGACAATTAGCAAAATTCATTTCGTTACAACATTTTTTCAATTCTTCGTGTCGAGTGAAGAAAACACAAGAAAATAAATATAGTCGAGAGGGGAGAAACTAAAACTGGAATTATAACTGCTGACGAGACGCACCCTCCTCACTATTTTCACGTCCATTAATTTTCTAATGTTCTCTCATAATTTTTTCCATGTTTTTCCTTAAACTTTTAGTCTGCTCTCTGCTCTTTATTTATTTTGTCATCAACGGGTCTCAGTTACAATTTCTGTCTGCACTAATTGAGTCACTGTTTTCCTTTTTATTCGACATTTCCGAATTCTACCTTGTCCAACACATTAAAACCTTTTTGTCATTTGCACCTGTCTCTTTCATTCAACTTTCTCTCACCCTTATACCTTACAATTCCTATTTCCCCTTTTAACTCTTCCGCATTACTCTTCCCTTCCTTCTCAATTCAATACATTGACCACCTATACTTTGACCAAAAAAAAAAAAAAAAAACTTACCGTTTACAAACGTCTGCACAAATCTACGGCACCGGAAACGGAAACCACCCACATGATATTGAGTAATTCTATTTATCTTATACTTTGAAACGTGGATAATGAACCCTTATTCAATTTAAAAGATTATTTAACGTCCTAGATACTTCAAAGTGTAAATTAAAAAAACGTTTATTTTGCAATGTAGTTCATCGTGGATTCTATGTCAACTCATACAAAAGATTTTTATGAGATTTAAAAATAATTAAATTACGGGACTTTTGAGGCTAAATTTTTTTTTAGCACACAAACATTTAACTTTAGTTGCGATTATACTGATTTTATTTCGATTTTCACATGGTTGACACAACTTATTTTATATTTTCCGAATTTGATATTAGTTTTTTTTGCGAAAAGATTTATTCTCAACATTATGAATATGTTTTTTTTTATTGAAATTAGAATTATACAAATAAAAGAGGCCTCGATTTGAGCCTTAAGCTACAGCAGAAGACATACGACATCTTAAAAAAAATATTAGACTATGTAGTTTACGACGTCACCTATAAGTCGTATATGATCGTAAATTATGATATTGTTTACGTCTTCAAAATTTTTAATAGGGGTCGTTTCAGAAAAAAAAAAATTTTCTTCCCTTCGATTGTACATAACAGCTTGTTTATTTTCTAGTTGAACTAATAAAAAACTGGAAAAACATAAAATCAACTTTTATTAAGGGTTGAAAAATTGTATTTTTTCTTTTTGAAAAAAAAATTGTTTTAACGTGCTATAAAAGTTAGTTAAAATGTTTTTTTTCCAATTTTTTTAGGTCAACTAGAAATTAAACTTTCAGGACTTGTAAATTACACTAGTATCTCTTTTGATAACAAAATTTTTTTAAAAGTGTTTACGAAAACAAATTTTTTGTTCAAACAAACTTTTTTTTAAATCTTTGAACTCTTTTTCAATTAAAAATAATTTATCTAAAAACAAGTATTCGGGACTTTAACAACGAAAATGAAATTTTAATTGTTTTTGTAGGAGATATTGATCCGCATAGAACGACATTTTGCAGGAAGTTTGCTGCACACCCAAACATATAAAAATGCCCCCGGCCTTGAAGCCAAGTTTGCCTCGTAAACTTTACTAAAACTTACATTGCAAACTTCCTATGTAAACTTGACGCAAATTTTCAGAGTAAACCAGCTGAAAATTGTTCTTGTAAACTAGGTGCAAATTTTTTTTTTGATTTTGCTGAGATTAAATCTGTTGTTAAACAATATATGTAGGTTACAATAATAGATCTAATAGGTAAAGGATTAGATTCTTAAAGTTAGAGGAAGGGATAAAAGAATAAACAAATACTTTATTAATATGGATATTTTTCTTAACCACTTTGGGGTAATGTTTGAGATGATTCATTGACTTTAAATTTTAATACCATTAGGGCTGCCTAATTATCCCTATCAGAAGAAATTAATTATAGATGAATTTGATGAAAATAATTATTTTCTTGAGCATAGGGACTTTTTGGAAATCTCCTCAAGGGCTGTTCGAAAGACTCCGCAAAATCCAGTACTGACTATGTGGTTGGTAGTTACCTTATCGCTGTACTTCTCCTTACATAAGTAGCTAGAAATCTTCTTACAGTCAGAGAACTTATGACCGGCTTCGTCGCAGTTAAAGCACGCAGCCGATCCATCCTCCTTCTGGTAATTCCTTCCAATATGACCGTATCCCAAGCATTGATGACACCGGACGACCATTACCCTTTTCCTAATTAGGAAACACATAAAACCAAATTTTACGTGTTCCAATTTCTCTAGCCTGACGGATTCTTCTGGGTTGGGGATCATAACCGCGAACTTCATCCCTCTGCGGTTGGGCCCTAAGACCTGCTTCCTGGCTTTCCCATTACTTCAAACAACACTTGTTGCACCTCTGCTTCTTGGGTGAAGCAATCCGAATCACGAATTTCAAGTGTAACTCTTCGATCTATTGACTGCACCTTACCCATGTTTCCAAATATAACCGCTTTGGTAACTTCAGGTCTCCTTTTTCGAACCTTCTCTGATTTTAATGAGAAGGTCCCCCATCTTTGTAGCTCTCGCTACTACCACTCTCGTATGATTGACGTCTGGGTTGACCTCCTCGCGAAGTTTACCCAGACCGTCAGAAGCCTTGGGCCTTGGTTTTCCAAGGCTTCTCACATACTTCTCTATCTTACATTCACGGATCTTGGCGTCACCTATTCGGTCGAAATTCCTATTGAAGACTTCTCTCGAAGACCAAAAGCCTGATTCCCCACAGCATCTCGAGAAAAAGTTATAATGCGATTCGCTTTCTAGTTCGCCACAGAATCATCTGAATCAAAATACATTTGTTGAAGGGAATGTTTCTCGAGGTAACAACGGGAGGTACCTTGGGGAATTATGTGAAGAAGTAGTGTGTAAAATTTCAATACAATTGGTCCAGTAGATTTTGAGTTATGTTGCCGACGAACTTTGAGCAATACGCTTTAAAGTTTTGCACACTAGAGAATTCGAAATAAAATTCGATAATTCTTTTATGCTCGCTTTTATGCTCATACATAGTTGTCAAAACCGGGTCCATGAAGAGCTTTCATCAAGATCATCCAGAGCGTCTTCTTTGCATTTGTCTACGCAAAACTCTTGCTTCTTTACTGTCCTGTGCAGCTTGCTGTCGAACAGGCATAGAAACTTGGCCTCGAGCAACTTATCCTCAAATAATCATAACTTTGTGAATTTCGCCTCGATCGACTTGAAAATTTGACACAATATTCTTGAGATATTATGCAATCAAGTTTTCCGATGGTCACACGTAGATTAATCCAACCCCTCTTTCCGCTTCTTTAAAAATATTTTCCTAAAATTCAGAAACTCCCAAAAATCTTAGTGGGGACCCATGAATCCAAAGATACATGTGTATGAGTATTTGTCTATTTCTTCATTCCCCTCTTTTATAAAAAAAATG